TGACATCAAATTTTGGGGTAAAAAAAGTGTGTCGTATACACCGAAACATACGGTATATGTTCTTGTACAGTGTTTTAACTAGGATGAAATAGTTGTTGAAAAGTACATATGGTTATAATTGTGAATATATATGAATGAAATAAACAACATATCGAATGCTTGTAAAGAATGTGACATATTTTTGTTATGTTTTTCAGCTCATTAATTCTTGTTTTGCCATAGTCTTTTTAAATAGTCCATTGTGACTTTCAAATCATAGATGAGTAAAAAATAATGGCTTTTACTTTAATAAGACATTTTATAGCCTTGTTCAATCTAAAAGAATATTTGAAATGAAAGTTAATGGCAGTCATAAAATTAACGAGAATAATAATTGTTTTAATATAATGCCCAATGGATTTACATATTTGAAATAATGCTTTTATGTTGAGAACGTTGTGGAAATTAGCACACCTACAGTGTGCCAATTTGGAGGAATGTTGAAAAAATGTGCAGTAAATTATGATTTTAATAAAAGACTGGCAGGTTTGTTTTTAATGATTTTAAATAATATAAATCAAATCTTCCTGTTGACTGTTATTTTATTGTTATTACCCAAAGAATAGAATCTTAGTTATTGGTCAGTATAACAAAATGAAAACAATGCATCAAGACAGCATGATTACAAAGTGGCCAATCAGAATGTTCTTTATGACTCAGAAGTTATCTCTAGATGAATTTCATTTCATCTAACAAGAATAAGACAAGGTCATATAGATGAAATATTTCTTAAATACTCTAAATTCACCTTAGGTTATTTCATTATGAAAATATATAGGAGAGTTAATTGGAGTTTGAAGTTTAAGCCCAGTTCTGTTAGAAACTCCCATGTGTTCTAAGGCACATACTTGTAAATGGAGAGAAGTCTTGCCTATGTAGGTGACTTTACAGCTACCACATGTATATTTATATATGACCTTTGAATGTAAGAGTGAAGGTAAAATGTCTTTAGTTCTAAAAAAAACTACTGATATGAAGTGATGATTTGATGACAATACAGAGTTTAATCTGGGAGTAGAATGACCTGAGTAGTTTGTAGAGTTGAGTTTTAACAATAAAACTTTGTTTTCCAAGATAAGGAGTAATAAGTGTTAGAATATGGAACATGTTTGGATATTATTCGGTGGAGTTCTTTTTATAATAAGAAAGTTACATGTTACGTTTTCTTGCCATTTACAAGTACACATCTTGGAACACATGGGAGTTTCTAACAGAACTGGACTTAAACTTCAAACTCCACTTAACTGTCCTATATATTTTCACAACGAAATGTTATCACACCCCATTTCCTTAGAAGACTTTTCAATTCTAACTTCAGGATGTAATGATCACAAACTGTTGAAAAAAGAAAGTTTACATATTATGAACGAAAATCCAAGCCTCAATAGAAATTCAAACTTGTCCCCCTTGCTTTATTCAGATAGCTCTCTCTCCCTTTTTTAAATTGAATGTTTGATAATTTTTCTTACACAATTCATTGTATTTTTATATCAGCTATTATTCTAAAAGTTGTTCAGTTTGTCATTTTCATCAATTGCTCTATAAATATGTTTACAGTTGTTGCCGTTGCTATACTATTCATTATTAGACTTCATTTTTCACCAAATATATCAGTTACTCATATAGTCTTTTTGACCTTAGACCCCAGTTTTTCAACTCCTTAGCTTGAATTGCCTAGATATCTTGATGGGTCATGAACTACAATATGAAGATGTTTTTCTATTAAAAACTAGTTTGAATAGACATAACTGTAGATTTGGCATTATGGTTTTAAAATGATGAGGAACTTCTACATATATTTGTTTTTCACATTTTTCAATAGTAGATTCTCCCCTTTTTCTTTTCAGAAATAATTTTGTAAGAAGTCAGAATATTCAAATAGAATTATAATCTACATGGCGTTTTCATACAGTTATAGTAGTCAAATGATTTAAAATGAATTTTTATATTAATTTTTATTTACATATGCAAAAATACTTTTATACACAACAGCATCCTTCAAGCCAAGTGTAACTTCCACCACTTTGTTTTTGTCAACCCAGTAACTTATATTGGTTTCTTTACATTTACTTTAGAGAAAGAAATACACTGAAATGAGTAGATGTGTTTTAATGCTACCTTAAAACTATAGTTTAAATTATAAAATATTTTGTATAAGAAAATGATGTATTGACATTTAGTGGATCTTGTGACAATTTAATGACAAAATACAAGAAATGGAGAACAATGACTGAGTTAGCTTTGTGCTTTCTATTTTGTATGTGTATTTGTGTGACCAATAAATCTGGTATCAAAACTTAAGAACTTAGAAAAGATCTTTTATTTGGTGTCATTATTAAGTCTAGAATTTCTTTTTTAATGTTGAAACACCAAATATAGTCTCTGTACTGTGTTATGCTATTAAGAAAACATTTTCTGAACTTGAATGTAAAAAAAAAAACATAAAAAGACTTGTTCTGGCAGTCTTTTATCTCTATATATTTTAAAATAGTACTAAAATATTGATAGTAAAATATCTGGTATAATAAAAAATTTCATTGTAATATATAGGTAAGATTTGTTTTTATTTCAACATATAGTCCAAATGATTTTTATGTAAAATATATAAACATATAAAAATGTTTTTAGCTATGTTTATATATTTATGTATTTTTTTCCCAGTAAAATCAGCACTGTTGATTGTAAATAATGTTTTGTGACTTGTCATCAAGTGTTTGTGTTGAAGTTTCTACAGAAATATTTTAAAATTGAGAATTCCAAGTTTTTTCTTATATATTTTATGGAATTTAAAGATATGACTCCTCATTGGCTCAGTAGTAAATCTATATGCTTACAACACTGAAAATTAGGTTTTTGATACTTACAGTGGCAGAGCACAGATAGCCCATTGTGTAGCTTTATGTTTAACAATAACCAAAACAAAATTACAGATACTGTACAATGTATTTTAATGACTGTTAAGTATGAATTTTGTGTGTGTTAAAGTTTGTATGGTAGTTTTGAAACTAAAAGGTGCTTGTAGAATATGCAAAATTTTACTTACATAAATTTGCTGACA